TTTCCTTTCAACACAATCCTTTCTTCCAATTTCAACTCTTCAACTACAGTCACTCCCTTAGAACTTCAACCAACATGCGTTTTGTATCAGCGCTTGCCGTCGCGGCGGCCACCGTCAGCAGTGCCCTTGCGCAGGACTTTGTTTTGGGCTTCAACTCCGGTGCATCTGATGATACCGGCAAGGCAAAGACCCAGGAGGACTTCGAGAAGGAGTTCACCACCGCGCAGAGCCTGGAGGGCGCACCAGGCAACTTCAGCGCTATCCGTCTTTACTCCAACATTCAGTGGGAGACGACCGACACACCCATCGCCGCCTTCCCTGCCGCTATCGCAACGAACTCCAAGCTCCTTCTCGGTATTTGGGCATCAGGCACGGACAACATTGACAACGAATTGAAGGCATTGAACTCCGCAGTCGAGGAATACGGAACAAAGCTGACGGATCTTGTTATCGGACTGTCTGTCGGTTCCGAAGATCTTTACCGTGTGTCGGAACCTGGTATCCGGAACGAGGCTGGTGTCGGTAACAGCGCGGAGAAGATTGTTGAATTCATCAAGACTGCGCGCGAGCGTCTTGCCGATACCCCACTCAAGGGTGTGAAGATCACCCACGTCGACACCTGGACTGCTTGGGTCAACGAGTCGAACAAGGCTGTCATCGACGAGATTGACTTTTTGGCTGTTAACGCATTCCCCTTCTACGAATCCGAGCTTGATAACAAGATCGATAACGCAGGCAAGCTCCTAAGCAGTGCTATCAGCGCAACTGAGGGCGTCGCTGGAGACAAAGATGTCTGGATTACCGAGACTGGCTGGGCGTACAGTGGTCCTGACTTTGGTGCTGCCACATCGACTGTAGATAACGCAGAGACATACTGGAAAGATGTCGGTTGCGCGCTCTTCGGCAAGAGGAACGTCTTCTGGTACACACTCCGCGATGCCAACCCTGCAAACAAGGTCAAGTTCGCCATTTCGGACAAGCTGTCCACCACCCCGCGCTTCGACATCAGCTGCCCAGAGCAGAAGGAGCTCCCCTCGGCAGAGCCCGCCACAAACAACGGTACTTCGACCGGTGGCTCGTCGAGCAGCAACTCGACTACAGATAGCGGTAACAACGACAGCAGCAGCAGCAACAACACCAACGGCGGAAGCGATGGCGGAAACGGCAATGCTCAGCAATCTGGCGCTGCCGCTCCCAGCGGAACCGGTGCGGGAGCTGCTACCTCGGTGTCGGTCATGAACTCAATGGCCATGGCTTTGTCTGTCGTCTTTGCTGCTGCTGCCTGGGCTCTGTAGGCGTGGATGTAACTTTCGAGACTAGCTCTTTTGCGGCATTTCCTTGTGTCAATGTAAGATAGATGAATGCGTTCATATAGGGTCGCGAATGGATGACACTCGCACCTAGTTTGAGCGACTGGTTCGCAACACTATGGTTTCATAATATACTAAGAGAATGAGATGGCTTTGTGCAGATATTACTTTGGGTGCCACCTTGAAGAATCTTGAGGTGAAGTTTGATTTGATTCAAGTTGACGATAGAACAGAAGAAGTCATGGTCCATGCACTAGCCAGTCGAGACGCGTCATGACCCCACACTCAATCGACACCAGCATTCTCTCGTTCTCCACCTGCTTCTCATCTCCTTAACGTCAAGAAGACACAACATCTCCCGACCACACAAAAAACCACCAATGGGCGGCATTCTATTATTTCTGTCTGGTCTGCCAACGACCTGACCAGGGGCTCATCCTCTCTTCGCCCACGTCCGATCTAAGACCTTCCCGCTGTTTTTCAAACACGGCCGACCGGACACACTCGACCTACTTCCGTCATCAGACTCATCGGAATAGAAAAGTTCAGGACTGTGGGTCTTATACCGTTGCATTGAGCTCATAGTTGGGGCCATGTAACGTGGCAGGTCCGCTTGCGGCTGAGAAGATAGCGGAGTTGCGGGTGGTGTGATAGCAGCATGCGCCTCGTGTTCGTATCGACGAATGACTTTTGCAGAGAAAGGATCCTTAGGAACCGCAGAAATCCGAATTGGTGCAGTCCGAGGGATTGGTCCAAAGCTACGGCTAAGGGGGGTCTGCGGCGGTGTCTGCTCCGTCGGTGCTGGCGTATCGTTGGATGCGTTTGTCGTTGGTATAGAACCTCGAGGCTTAGACTCTGACAGTGATCGCCGAGGGTTAGAAACTCTCAACTTTCGAAAAGAATTCCCGATGGATGAGAGCATAGACGTTGTACGAGGTTTGGTGGTATATGCATCTGTCTTTGCTGGCATTTCGGCAATTTTGGACGGTCCCTGAGGCTTTGGGGCGAGAGGCTTCCGAGGAGGTACCATCGGGGTGAGTCCAGGTTTCTCCCGAGGCTTTGCAGACAAAGCATTATCCTTATCTCGAGAAGTATTTGCTGTGAACCTCTGTCGCTGAATTGTAGGCTTTTGTCTGACTCGTTTGGCTGACTGACCTTTCTCCCTCATTCTCTTGAGCTTCGCCAGCTCCAGGCTCTCCGTCACTCTTGCTCTTTGCGAGCTTTCGTGATTATCTCTGAGCTCCTGAAAGTGGATGGCCTGAAGAATCAACATCCTAGCAGCGACATTAGTGTCTTCCTCGAAAACACCATATGCGTACTCAGTGAAGTCCGCCCAGGTCCGTACTTGCTCTGGTAGTGGGAAGCAAAAGTCCACCGACTGATAGACTCTGCGAAGGTCATCCGGTATTTGCTTCGCACTCATAATGATGGACAGCATAGGTGTTGTTGCAATCAGCCCTTTTGCTTCAAAGACGAGCTTGCGCACACTGCCATATAAGGATGCACAAGCTCGATTGCATTTTGGATCAAGCCGGCAGCTGCTGGGAACTTCGAGCAGATAACGATCAATCTCACCATATTGGATTGAACTTGACGATCGTTTAAGGCGTTTGGAACTGCCGATTTCAAACGACTCCTTCGTACGGTTTGAACTCCCTTCTTTTGGTTGATCCGCGTTCGAGATTGTTAACTCGTCATGAAGCACCGAGTCCAGCCTATACTCCGAGTCGAAGGAATAGTCCAAAATACACAAATACTCACATCCGGGTTCCAAGTGCCCAAACAACCATTCCCACGGCTCGATCATCTGCTTGTTTATACTGTATACGATTCTTGTCAAAGCTTCATCAGGCGCGGCGTGATCTATGAAAAATCTTGTGTTGACAGTCAGTGTCCCAGGTAACAATTTGGCATCGCGGATATAGTTGACTGGTGCGGCTTTGACTATCGGCTCACATGCTGAAATGGGCAGCGGTGTATGACGAACAGGATTTTCTTCCCAATCGGGCTTCGAAGGCAGTACCTCAATGCCTCGACCGAAAACGCGGAGGAGAGTGCAAATGGTGTAAGGATTTGAGGACGCTACTCCGACGAGATCTCTCCGGGTGGATCTGCCGACATCGTAATGCATGGCCAAGGCTTGTAGCATCTATTGCAAGTCAGTCACTTGTTCTCATGTATGACATCTGCTTACCTTGGTAGCTCGTCTCTGGTTGCGATAGCCTTTCAACACCAGTAGTTGCGTTATCCACCACACCCGATCGTCACCGTGCATCCACTGGCTCATGAAGCAGTGTCCGACCTGTAGACCATTCTTAGTAATGGCTATCACTAGGATGTTATTGACTCCATCCGGTAGGCACTGAGCTCTTAGCCTATCGCGACTAAGCCGTACGTGCTTGCCTACACATGGGAGTTAGAAATGGCTTCGTTTTTGTCGCTCTACTAACCATACTCAGCCCAGGGGCCCATAACGAGACGTGCTCTCTGACTCCACACACCATAATTAGTCGAGAAGTGCTCAGCGCAAATCTCCAAATGTCTCTTCGTCACCACGCCCCCAGGGATGATGCGATATACTATGTCTTCGTCAATGTCTGGGTCTTCGTAGAGGTGGTTTGGCTCGCTACGGATGCGATATTCGACACTTTCGATGCTAGCAGGATCACGGTAAGCTCTTTCTTCTCTTGGATTATCGCCTCGTGTGATCAGCTGTTGAACGTGGTCCATGGCGGGATTACGTTTTTCTGATTTAGTGCATGTATGGCTTTTGTATTGTTTCGCATCGAGAAAAACGCGTTCGAAGATGTTGGTGTGAATGTCGACTGGACCCAAGACGACGTTTTCGAATGTTAAGCCTGCTCAAGCGAGACGTAGAACCATGGTAGAGACTCGACCACCTCTAACCACTACGAACTTGCTTATCTGCGGGCTTCTTCGCTTCTGTGCAGTCGAGCGGATGGATGCTTAGCTGTTTCCATTGTATTGTTCAACTCCAAGGTACCTGGGTCGTCAGGACGCTCCATTGTAGTGTTGCGTGAGGACAGTCGTGTCGGGTGCAATAGCGGGTTCGGGCGACTGGTTCTGAGTGCGGTTCAGCATGAAAATGTATGCTTTCTAGTGCTCACGGTAACGGATTTGGAGAGCAGGTAACGTCAGGTAATGCACCTACCTTCGTATGGACGGCAGTCAAGCTTACTACTACCAGGAAGTCGACTTTCGGCTGTCTTGACTGGAACAGCACCCCTGCGTCTGACATGCTGGTCACAAGTGGTACTCAGGTCCCGCAACGCCACAAGACACTCCTCAATGCCACATCAGGAAGCACAAAAATAGCATCTCGAATTCTCATTGGTCTGCTCGCAATATCACGTGCCTGGTGGATACCTCTCGCGAAGCGACAAGGTGAGGTGGGTCACTCAGGGAACCGTTGGCCAACCGCAGCGCCCACTCAGCGAGACGCTATGTCAGAACAGGCAATGTACGAAGATGTGGCCTGTGCACATGTAAGATAACGGCAATGGAGGATTAGGGGATGCTGGCAAGTCAATATACAGGTGGAGTTTGTTGTTTTGGAATGGTGCATGGCGTTCATCATTTGAAGGGCACTGCCGGCTGCTTTTTCCTGTTCGTTCACTTTCGTTCAGTCTTTACTTTCGAGCATCACGCTATACTACCCTTCCTTCGTTTTCTTCTTCAGCAGCCATAGAGATACACGTCAAATTACTCGAGAGTATCTATCAGCCCCGTAACCTGCTACATTCATCGATAAACAAGGTCCATCTCCTACCTGACACGAGAACGGTAGCACCGTTGTCAAGCCTTCACATCATAACATCACTTGCATTAAGAGCGATACGCAAGCATGATTCAAACAGCAATCCTCCTTCTCGCGCTTCTTAACAACGCAACCGCCCATCCTCTCATTAAGCGCGACGAATACGCAATCCCAGAGACCGTCATCATCCTCCTCATCATGCTAGGCGCCGGTATATGTGTTTGCGTCGGCTATGCCATAAACGCGACCTTTGGTTTCAGGGAGGACGGCAACGGCATGAAGCCGATGACGCCAGAACAACAGGAATACATGGCTCAGGTTCGGGTTACGAACATGAATGGATTGATGGCGGAGGGTGCGAGAAGCCATCGGGGTGGACTGAGGAGAGGGGAAGTGGTGTATGATTAGAGGAAAGGAGGAGACAGGAATTTGGAGATTTAGGACATCTACTGCAAGTAAAGGGTATATTCGAGGAAGATGGCATACAGAAGTGCATTGGGGCCGACACATCAAAGCGAATGATGGATAAACCCCTTCATTCTTTGAACATCTCCTGTATGTTACTGTATTCAGTTGGATGGAAATGTGTAATCATCAATCCAGGCGCATGAAGCTGGTGTCGCAAGGTTACAGTGTATACGACCATGTTTTATGGATCTTCAAGTGACTCCCATGGGAGCGTACAGTACTTTTATTCAAAATGTCATCCGCCTTATCTCTCGTCATATATCGGCGGACTTTCACCCCTCTCATACTTTGGGACAGGATCTCTGTCTTCCAAATCGCCCTCTTCTCGCACTACATCGCCGAAGAACGTGTCTGCAACATCAATCCATAGATATACTCTCTTCAGTCCTGTAGTTGTGCATTTCTCCACTCTTCCCATTCTTCCTTCATCTTTACCAATCGCGCTACGTACTGCATCAACTAGACATTCTTTTCTGATGTTTTCGTGATGATGAAATTCTAGAACAATATGATCTGCGTAGAAGATGTCAGGGTTCGACCATGATGGTAAAGGTGCGTTAGGCGTATAACGAATGGCGTATAAGTGACGAGTATATGTGGTCAGAATGGTGGGCGACGACTCTGTTGATTTACTCCTCCGAGTCGACTGCGGCATGCGTTGAGTTTCTTTTACTCTGTTAGCCTTCACTTCAATATCAAACAAGGAACACCGTGTGCTGGACTTGTACTCACCAGACGCAACCAACCCATCGATGACATCTTGGACTAGGTCGCCGGCTTTCTTTACCCTAGCTTCTAACGACCCAAACCCGCCATTAGCCACGGGCATCTGAATTTCACCGCCCCTTGCATCTCCTCGCTGCTGTCGTTTTCTGCGAACTAATTCATTTGCCCATATTCCCATCAACTTCGTCCTTCGACTGCCACCACGATCTGTACGTTTCATATGCTCCACATCCTCACGGGATCGAACTTCGATAATATATGGCGAATCTGCAGCATGGTGATCGACTCGGTATCCCCAAGAGGCGAAATCGCGGGCTATAAAGGGTACAGTCGTCAGGAAAGGTCGAGTGTGCTGCGTAGTGTGGATGAGGTAAACCTTAGCACCGTAGAATGTGCCCGACATATTGGATAGCTGGTGATTGTGTCTTTTTCGAAATAAGAACTTGATGAGGAATCGAGGCAGAAAACTGGGACTTTAGAGAAGACGCAGATTTATCTTGTTTCAGGCTGTCATATAGACAGCGCGTTTGACGTGTATGCGACGCCATCGCAGCAGTGCGCCAGCATACCCAGGCGTCGTGGTCAGAGCGCAGTTGAAGTGAGGCGCTCCAGAACAGTGCTGAATTCACTTCCGGTTCCAGCGAAGTTCAGAATACCAAAAGCGGTCACTGCATCTTCAGCTGCGTTGCAGAGGCCATTCTTGGAGTGAGCGCAACATTAGAGGTCCAAAATGCCATAGGGCTGAGGACTATTGAGGGCGCGATGGCATAGTAACCCAAGATCGGTCTGACATAGCAAGTGTGCTGAGATGGTGCATTGTCAGAAGGCGAATAGGAGATTAAGTTGTCATCTGTTTGGAGTTACCGCACGCGCTAAACCTTCAGCTACCCTGCAGGGTATCCACGTCTCCTTCCGCCGACGAATCCGGAGCCAACTCCTTACTCTTCCTCACCGCATTTACTAAAATGGACTGCATCAGTCAGCTAGCCATCATCAACACCACTGCGCAACTAACGGCTACTTTGTAACGTGCATGCAGCGCCACGATCTTCCTGGTGGCTGTGAAACATCCGCGCCCTACAATGGTGAAATGGAATGCGACTATATGGACTAGACTTATTAGCATCAAACCAACTTGCATTTAGTCTTTGAGATCTTCTAGGCTTGTTCCGATATTGTCTTACTATCTTCAAGGAAAGTCTATCGAAACGAGGACGTCTTATGCCCCATAACTGATGCGGTCTTCAGGAATCTTCACCTGGTGCCACGACATTCATGTCACGTGTGCAGAGGTTTGCTCGCATGTGCATCCATGGATGAAGGCCACGGTTGAAACACATCACGTCTACTGCAATTCCTTATAGCAAGCGAGTGTGAGTACATCAAGACTATTCATAGCTTGTGAAGACCATCTATCACACGCACCTCATCATTTTAATGTACCAAAATGTCGCCACTGTCTCTTGAAGGAATCCACGCACGACATCTGATTGAACAGCACTTACAAAAGCCCTCATGCAACCCAGTCTAGCACAACACCCATACCCAGTAACAATGCTCAGCTACATCTACCACCCAGCAGGCCCCGTCGTCATTCGCACAACTAGCGCCGCCATTTCGCTCATCTATCGCGACCGCGGCTGGCTAATCACACAATCCTTTTCCGACGTCCTTCGTGACCACCCAGAATGGCGGTCTACGCCAGCTCCTCCCACTCCAAAACCTACACACATTTCTGGAGGGAGCATCGCGACCCGCATAGGTTCCGTAATATTACCCTTCCTCAGTACTACGATGGCAACAATCCCCAGCCATGCACCGACTGGCGTGGGAAGTTTGGCGCCTATAATAGTCGGTAACTATGGTAGAGGAGAAGTAGAGCGGAAAGAGCAACAAGAGTCAGTTGGTAATTTTGCGCCAATACATTGGATGACAGCGGTAGAACGATCCTGGTACCGGGATCGTGCGTTGCCTGTTCCGATCATAGGGTGGCTCAAGTGCGATGAAGGCGAAGAAACATTTGAGTATAGACTTGTTGGTGGGGAGTTGGATTTCGAGGCACCACCAGGGTACGATGCGCACGAGTAGATGTAGACGATGGAGGCAGACGCCAACCGCTCAATTGTACATATGGCGAGAGAAAGATGGCGAACATGTATAGGACAATAAACATTCTAATCGTATTAATGAAAACTGTGGTATCTCGCAAGCAAAATGCAGCTAAGAAAGAAGGAGCGGTTGGTAACTTTTTGATGTAACCCGTACATGCGCATGCGATAACCCGATCCTTTCCTCATATTGAAAAACACCATCCGAATATTGCGCCGTGGTATCTTGTGGTCGTTTCGCTGATTCTTTCTATACACACCCATACATTATCCCATATATATCAGACGCCCACTCCAATGAGCGCCATACTTCATTTACCATCAAACGCATGCTGTCAGTTCACTTATGATAACTCTCCTACAGATCTGCGCTTTTAGGGTTCACCAGATAGATGTCGGGCACTTTTGGTACTTGCGGACTCTTCTGTAGCGCTAGCTTGATTGCATCCCGCGTCTTTGCACCTTCCTTCTCTCCGCCACCCCCCGTCAGCCGTCTCATACCACTCCTAAAGCGACTCCTTGTGTCGTGAGCAACAGGCTTGATAATGTTCTCTAGACTGAAGGTGCCGCCTTTGTCTGTGCTGCTCGACCGACCAGCAGAGTACTCGTCATCGGAGAAGGGCTCATTTTGTTCGTCGAGCGTGGTTGATGAGAGGGAAGGAGAAATACGTTGGGGTTGGTTTGGCGCCGAGGGTGACGTTACGGAGCGGGAATGGAGACCCGGGCGGGGATGACTTGTTGGAGGCAAGGCGCCAGTAGAGGAGTTGGCGAAAGAGCTGAAAGCGCCTGGTGTCATGACACCTGGATCCCTAGCTGGGGAGAGTTTGACATCCGAGATGAATCCCGATTGAAAAGAAGTCACAGATGCGTTCCTTGTGAGTGATTTGTGTAAGATTGGCGCCGTCTGCTGATCGTAAAGGTTCTCGCGCATGTCGTGAGCATATGGTCCGTTACCGTACCGTCCCGAGGACGAAAAGTTTGGTAGATCCGTCAAGGTTTCCGCATCATCATCGTCCTCAAAGAAGTCATCCAAGCTGTCTAGTTTCATGACTAGTTCGCCAATGTGACTGTCGCCACGGGTGTCCTCGGAAGTCATGGTCGCAGTTCGGTGGTAGTCGGATAGTGGGCTGAACGGGAACTCCTCTTGGCGGAATTCTACCTTGGGTGTCTCAGTGTCCGGTACGTTCATTTCGTCAAAGTTTCCGCACGTGTAGAAAACAGCATGAACGTTCGCTCTTGTCAACTGCGAATGCAAAGCAGGCATTGGAATAGACCAGCCGCTTTCTTCAGGGATACCGTACAATGATTGCGTCTTCTCGAACTGCTTCTTGTATCCTCTGGTAGAGTGGGAGCCTGCCATGCTCATGCGAATGTGCTGCTTGTCGAACGGTGTGAGGGTACTAGTCATGTTGAGATTGATGACGAAGTCAAGAACCCTTAAAGCTTGTGGGCAATATGCGCTTTGTAGTAGTCGTAGGAGAGGCGAGAAAAGATCAGATCCTTTGGATGCCATTTCCGGCTTGCGCATGTCGATTTCAGGTAGCAGGATGCAGAGTACTTCCATCGTGTTGATCTTCATCCAATCGATCTTATTCATGAGTAGACCGAGAAGGAATACCAGGCTACCGAACTCATGTTCCGAATTGAACGTAGAACGTATAGCAGACATTGTCTGCGCAAGGAAGTCTTTTTCATGGCGGTACCTCTTCATTGCAAAGGCAGTCAACGCCTCGGAAAGCGATGTGCACTGGTAGTGCTGGTCTGCGACTTGTGCAAGCACTTCTGCAGTGGCGCGGATACTTGAATCTTGTGCTGTAGAGTCAAATGAACGCAGAAATCTTGGCAGATTCGCAAGAACGGTGTACGTCAGTCGGCTATCGTCACCCACGATACGGCTAGAAGGTAGTACCACCAGTCTTTCCAGGATTCGTAAAGACCGGTCCAGGCATGTACTTGATCTGATGCCCTTGTACGTCAGTTGGGCAAGGCCTTCGAACTTGCCTTCCCACTTATCCGGGCAGCTTTCTTCTAGGATGCTCAACACCTCCTCGTCACCTAGATCAAGCTTGTCGAGAAACTTGTCTAGCATTAAGAGGCTCTCCATGAATTCGCCTTCGTGTATAGTATCCAAACACGCGCAAGTCGTCCAGAACAGCTGAGGGTACTGTATGAGATCTTTAGGCGCTAATGCCTCAATGATGGTCCGTAGCGTTGTCAATATCTCCATAGAGAAGGTCTGTATGTCACTCTCCTCATCCGAGATGGTGTTAGAAAGTCTGGCGAGCATGTCGGAAAGCATTTGCTGATCGAGCGAACTGAGAATGCAGCGGAACAACTGGAATGACCGACAAGCGATATGTCTGACCGGGCAAGATGTGGCCCAGTTCAGTGCTACTCGACCCCAGGCTTCTCTCAGTCCAGGGTATGCAAATGATAAGAACTTCATCACCTCGCCAGCAACGTAGCCCATTGGCTCAGGAACCTTGAAGGTTGAGTCTGCCACGTCCTTGCCGTTCTTGTCAGCATAGCTCCATACCACCTTGGTGTCATGTTGTCGAATGCTCTCAACGAAATCTTCGATAGACCTTTTGTCGATGCCTGGTGTGTCGTCTTCGATCTTGGAGATGACTAGCTCGTGAATCAAATGCACAAGCATCTCACGAGACTGGTCCTGCACCACAGAGGTGTAATGATCCCAGAGCACCAGGACCACTTGTAGAAGCAACGGAATGTGCTCTTTGGCTACCTCTACTGGGGACACCATAAGGTCAACCAGCAAAATGAGGCAAACCTGTCCCAAAGCAAAGCCAGACTACGCAGGTCAGCGTAAATCAGTATGAATTTCATGTTATGCTTACCTGTTTATTGCTACTTGGCAGAACCTGGGTGAGATCGGCCAAGTATGGAAGATTGACAGCGTCTGGCGGCGGTGGCATAGGCTCGCGCTTCTCGCTTACCATAGACCGTGGGTTGATCTGTAATAGCAGGAACTCAACGACCTTTAGTCCCGCAGGAGTGCTGGAAAGATGGACTACGATCTGTTTGGAGTAGTCGACGTAGTTCTGTTCTCGCTTGTCTAGACAAAGATTGATGATGAAGTTCAAGATAAGTTGAACATTACCACCGTATGGTCCAGTTGCTAGTGCTTGCCAGAGTGCTTGGATCTCATTATGTAGCACGTTGCCTGATCTGTAGGTGATCTCGAACAAGTTGACGAGTAACATGTAAGAATTAGCAGTCGGTCCTCCGTCGGGGTTGACTTGCAGTTCGACAGACTGCACCCAAGGAAGCATAGCGGCGACCATGTTGCGCTTATGGTCAGGCTTGAGATCTTTGAAGTAGTACGAAAATTGCGAGAAGACCAAGAAAGCAAGCTCGGCATGCTGCTTGGCAAGCCTTCGTGATGTTTCAAACTGTGCGAGCTTGTATACCGCGACCGTCTTGTCAGAGATGCTGATGTCCAGGTCCTGTAATTTCGAATTCTTTCCTTCACGAGCCTCAAGCGTTCGGAGTAATCGCGTGGACTTTGTGCGTATCTCGCTGTTCTCATGTCCGAGTGTGTAGAGACCGGCGCTTAGTACTTTCCAGAATGGCAAAGTGTAGTCCTCGTGTTGGGTGAGGACCTGAGTAACAACTTCGAAGTAGCTCTCGAGAGCTTTACTAGAGACCGCGAGATAGCACATTTCAATTGCCTTGTCTAGCAGATATGGATGCTCGCGATTGTGCAATATGAGATTCGTAAGTGCTCGGCGACCAATGGCGTGTGTTCGATCGCTCGGAGTTTCGAAGATGCTCTGTATCCATGAGAGCATACGAATGACATCGAACTGAAGCAAGACTTTGCTATCAGTTGTGATACTAACAGGCCCGCCACAGAGTGCAGCCATAGCGCTCAAAGCCGCGGTTCGAAGATCACGTTTTTCAATTTCAAGGGCTGCAGTTGCGTTACCTTTGCTGCTCTTATCCACCTCTCGGTCGAGCATGGAACGACGCATCTGCTCTTCACGCTGACGAATCTGAGATTGATTTGCTGCGTATCCGCACCATTCTTCCATTAGAGTAAATGCCGCTTTACGAGCTTGAAACGGCATCCAGTGCAAAGGATCGCTGGTCTTGTTGATGCCCTCAAACAAAACTTCCACAAGGCCACAGTAGTGCGTGCGTAACTTCTGGTAGCGCGCCTCAAGTTGGACTTCTGTATCACTCAGGAAAATTCTGAGATCCTTGGTGTAGTTCATTAAGTTGTTGATGATCCACTCGTCATTGTGGGCTTCCGGAAGTTTGAGGAATTGTTGCGATGTTAGCTTGTATACGTGTGTAATCTCTGTTCGGAGATGGTCGGTCCGGTAGTTGATGGGACGGGGACTGCTAATGGTTCTGTTGTGATTGCCCAGACGCATCTTGGCTTCTTCTGCACAAGCAGCCACAATCCCCTGAAGCGACTCAAGTAATGTGCGATAAAGATTCAGGTTAACGGAGCCAAGACCAATAACCGCAGCGTCTCGTATGGCGGCATTGTCTACTGACAGGAAGGGGAGGACTTTAGAAAACAACTCCGTGGCGGTATGTTGCTTGTTTGTGCTCGTTTGTGAAGACTTTGAGCTCTTCCGCGAGTGCTGACCTTGCGTAGCCGACATAGCGGTCGGACCCAGGCTCGTTAAGGTTGTGAAGGCAAATATGAGATACAGTTTCCATTGTTCGATGACGACTTCTGGTGAGGTCGAGGCAAGGCGCCCACTGAACTTGCTAGCACCAGGCTCGTACGGTGAATAAGGCGTTGTACGCTGGCCCTCAGCCAGGGACGATAGAGTGCGATACATCTGAGCAAGTCTGGCACATACTATGTCTCGAGTAAGAGTCACAGCAAAAGGGCAGACCTCAAAACTGATTCGCACCAGATTTGGGAAAATCTTGAACCATAAAGTAGCGTCATACGGCACATCGCTGCCGCAAAGTTCCACGAGTGTGCTCTGCACATTGCTCTTGCGCATGCCGCGTTGTAAACGACTGCGCTCAGCTAGCGACAGCTTCTCATCGCTAATGTCCAAGACCCTCT